GATAATTTTGGTTTCAAAGGTGACGTTTCGAGCGTTAGCCCTTTCGTTAGAGCGAATGGATACGGTTTTTGAAGTAAATCGAGAAAAAAAGTTATAACTGTTTCGTAACTCATTGCTTTGCAATAAAATGTGCCGCATTTTCACTACCTTGGTTTTTTAACATCCAGCCATAGTTGTATATACACTTAATTGTCTACAAATGTATACATTTGTCCATGATTTTCTTTACCTTTTTTTCAGGCCACCTTACACGGCTATGTCCTCAGCAATGAAACCGTTGATCCTATTATCCCGCAGCTTATAAGTGTGGTAAGAAACGATACTCTGTTGATTTTTCCTGCAACTTCTGTTTGTAGTTTCAACCAGGTGCAAAAGAAAATGACCAACAGCTGATATAACAAGAAATTTAATTTTTTTTTAATCATCATGGTATATCTGTTATTTTTCAAAATTTCCAGCTTTATCCAAGTCAGTACTAAGTATTTTTTTTCACAGATATGACTTTCATCTGTCTCCGTTCTTGATTTATACTCATAATCAGGTGACAAGACATGCTAAGAATGCTATATGTGTTAGTTCTTTATTATCTGAGCTCAAGTTATTTTCTGTTTGTAGTTAAGCCATTAATTCCCAGGAGGGACCAAGACAGAATTTCTCCAAACAACATCATTACCATGTCTAGCAGACAAGTGAGGGGAATAACGAAAAATATATTATGGGAGATTTTTTGTTTATCCAATACCAAATTGTATGGCAGACTGTAAGGGGAATTCCCCATTTCAAACACGAGTGGGGGAGTGGGTCGGGTTCGTCGCGCAGGTTTGTCTGGGATCGTTAGTCGGGACACAAATCTTTGTTTACTATAGATTTGTGTCCCGAGTAACAATCCCAGACAAACTTTCGCGGCAAACTCGACCCACTCCCCCACTCGTATTTGAAATGGGGATTTAGTAATGATACCTTGGGAGCCAAAGGGTTAATTAAACATGATCTAGAAACAGAGCACCGGCTAATATAGCAAGGAATTCTGATTTTTAATAGCTCATGTCCAGTTGCCGTGTGACTGATGCCGAAGTGAAGATACTTGTGGCTGAATGCCTCGGTGAACTGGGGGCCGTCGATCCTGGAAGGTAACTTTAACTTTGATCTTGTTCATCTTCCATTACAAGTATGTGCTGAGATCTGCTACACAATACCTGGCAACACCTGTCTTAGGGTGGACAGTGCTTTCCATAGGATAAATCCCTATCCATAGGATAAATCGCTATCCAGTGGGTAAATGTTAACAAAACGTAATGTGCATGCCTAGAACCGGATAGAGATTTATCCCGTAGATAGAGTTATCCAAACTTCGAACCACAGGGGCCTGGCCCCGGTTGTTTGAATGTTGGATAACGCTATCCGTTGGATAACGCCATCCATTGGATAAAACTCTGTCCAGTGAATAACGCAATGCGTTTAACTATCACTTATACGCCGGATAGCGATTTATCCGTCGGATAGCGATTTATCCGTCGGATAGCGATTTATCCGTCGGATAGCGTTATGCGCCCTTTATACAACTGGGCCCCGGTGTTTAAATCAGAAAGGAATTTATCAGTTTTAATGTACACCCCTTATTATGGCAGGACGTAGAAAAGATGGCTTTAAATAGACGTACACCTTGCTATCATTGTTTTTTTTTTGTGCATTCTGACTGAAAGTGCTACCCTACTTACTGAAAACCCTAAAATCAAGCTTTATATCCATCACCATTCCTGTTTCATTTCATTTATCGTCGGTTTTTTATTCTGGTAAACTGGTACTGTGAGGATAACATTTGCTCTCCTTTAAGTAAACTGATGAACCAAAACAAACTCATTTTTTTGCTTTGATTCGTTGTTAGACTGGATAAGCTCACGCACGATCCTGTGGATGAACAAACAGTTTTTGAGGTAGCATACATGCATGGTGATTTGTAATTAGTACTTCTCAAGTCTTAGTGACACACTTAGTATTGTATCATTGAATTATTGTTTTTGTGATCAGAAGCAGTGGCTCTGTTTAACCCCTTAGCTCCCACATGTGATTCACATGTAACCTCTCCCTTTAACACCCATATATTATCCAGCAAACAGGTAGGGAGAAAATTCAAACTTATGATGTAGAAGTTGTTACTTGATCTAACACCAAATTCTCGTAACTGATTTGCAAGAAGGGGAGAATTCTCAGGGGAGAATTCACAATCATATCTTGGGAGTGACAGGGTTAAAAGATAATGTTTCCTCATTTAGTGACACGAGCTCTGGTGCTAAATTTACCTTATGTAGTAAACGTGCTGCATAGTATTCTATTTGACAACACCCCCATTTATCCTGGGTTGAATTAAACAATGGGAATAATGGTTGATCATTGGGTGCTGGAACAGCTTAGCTTAGAGTGCTGATTGTAGCAGTATGGCCTAAACGACGAGGGTGGGTGGGTTAGGGGACTTTTCTCTTCTCTGGCTTCCTCTGTAGAAAACTTTTGAGCAATGCTAGGAAAGCTCACGTAGCTGATACAAAGTTCTGTATTATTGTAGTAGTGTAGTCTGATCGTCCGGGTGAGTAGTCCTGAGAAGGATTTTTGTCGGCAGTGGTGACTGACGTTTCGACAACCTGAGCGGAAGTCATCATCAGAGTCAAGAGAAGTCATCATCAGAGTCAAGAGAAGTCATCATCAGAGTCAAGAGAAGTCATCATCAGAGTCAAGAGAAGGTCATACGCCGCCACTGACAACAGTCCTTCTCAGGACTACACAGCCACCAATCAGATGGAAGTCAGTCACTCCTTTTCCCGCGCTTTTTGGCCGCCCGCGCTTGAGGCAGTTTGGTTTTTCCTCGTCGGCGCTTAAAGTAATCGCTTGATTAATTTTAATGTCCTCAGTCCCGAGAGAAACTATAAGCGTTTCATTGTTGTCTGTGATGTTCTTGTATTCACACCATAATCAGAAATTCATTTCGTTGGTTTAATGCACGTGCATTTTGTATTTTTTTTTTTGTAAGGACTGCTCTGCTTATGCCATTCAAGAAGTTCTGTTAACTTACGGCTGAAGTGAATCGAAGAAGGACGGGTGAGTTTTTTCTCGATGTCCGTGTATTGGTTTCCACGGCACTAGATTAAACCGGGATTGAATGTAGGGGTGATAACACGATTTATTTCGTTGGCACTTTGTAATCCAAGGTTTTCATAAACGTTTTTATTCTGCATAGGGATGGTTATGACCTGTGGCAGAAATTTCCAGAGCACATCCAAGAAGTTCTTCGACCTCACTTATATTCAAAGTAAGTAGTATTTTACTTGAGGAAATGACCTTCAATAAATCACGACCTAAAACAAAAATCGTATTAACAAAGATTTAGTAATGCATAGACAGGTAAAAACTAGCGATATAATATCCCGACGTTTCGGCGACTTCATGACGCCATTATCAAGGGTACAAATGAAAATAAAATTAACAAATGCGAGTTCAAGAGTTACAACTAATTTGCATAGGGGAGGTAGCTACACAAATACTTAAGCACGGATAGAATCCGTTTGCACGTTCAAACTCGGTGTTAATTCTTTGATGTAAAGCATTTCGTTGACAACACAATCAAATTTGTTCATGCACTTCTTGAGAAGTTTGAAACAGCTAAGAAGGTCGTCAGGGACAGCACCTGCGTGGTCGTTGTCGTAGTGCTTGCGTACTGAAGATGACGTGCTCTTATGGCTATCTTATGGCATTTATATGCCCGAAACGTCGGGATATTATATCGCTCGTTTTTACCTGTCAATGTAAAACAAAAATAGTCATTTAAATGATTTTGGAACATAATCCATCCTCCCTTCAAATTTTTAAAAAAATTTTTTTTTCGTCGTGAGCAGTCATTGATGCCAGAAACCATTAGTATGAATAACACAGTAATTTGAAAATACATTGCACCGTGCAAATTTAAAAACATTAACCGTGTAAGCTCTAATACGTCCTGGGGTTGGGAAAGGCGAGAGAGCAGTAGTATTCTATACGGGGTATTAAATTAGATTTCTTTGAGGTTGTTATCTTTGGCTGGAGCAAGGAGGTAAGGGGAGGGTAGTGGAACTCTATACGAGGTATTAAATTAGATTTCTTTGAGTTGGTTTTCTTTGGATGTGGGGGAGGGGGGGGAGGGGGAAGAGTATTATCATATTCGATAACAAGTTAACCATGGTACTCGATTCGTGGCTATGTAAACTGTCAATTACCATCCTCTCTGAACTATGTTCTTGTTCCAATGATAGATACTTGTTCTGACTCGAAAAAATAAAGGGAAAGTTTTTATCGTAGATCCCTTTGTGGTTTTCCCGCGCGGGCCAGTCTAACGCGTCCTATTTAAGTTAAAACAAACTTTTTGAATTTTTCAAATTTAGTCAGTGGTCATATGCTTATTGACTGAGGTAGGCTGGGCTGTAAGGAAAATATGTGACTCTCGTTCATGGTATTTGATAAGAAGTAAATCATGGCATTCGGTTCATGGCTATGTAAACTGTCTCTTACCACCCTCTCTGAGCTAAGTTTTTGTTCTAATAACAGGTACCTCAGCTCCAGCACTCCCAATTGGTCTGGTCTCCTTAAACCCATCTACAGGAGCACTAAGGGCCGAGTGTACAATGAGTGGGTCAGCACATGGACATCATATATGATCACTAAGGTATGCTTGGACAGATGCGAACCTTATGGGTTTATCTGTTGAATTAGACTAATTTGGGGGTGAGGGAAAAATTGAATTGTTTATCTTCGACTCTGTTTGTTTTGATTCATTTGTTGTTTTTTTTTTTTAGGTCAAGGGCCAGAAACCATCCCATATATTCCAGGCTTGCAGTAAAATTTTTAAGGTAAACTCTGATCGAGAAGATTATTAAACGGCTCTGTTTTCCGAGCATGGAAACTTCTGTTAACTTTTTATGTTATTGCCGTATGATAGAAAGTATGTCAATATCTCCCAATCCTTTGCGCCCATTATTTTGCAGCATGACGTTAAGACGGCGTTATTCTTGCTGCCTCACGTGTTGTTGTATGTTCTGTTAGATGGCACAAAAGAGGATGTCGAAGAGGTGAGTAGGGGGATCCACGATCAGCCATTAGCAGCTGGATAGGAAATAAAACAGTTAAAAAAGAGGTTATGCAGAACAGTTAGAGAAAAACACTGATGAAAGCGCAAACTATCTTTATCAGCTAGGAAAGACTCTCTAACCTGTAAACAGGAAGGCATCAGGACCTCTTTCAAGCCCGGTTTTACATTTGTCATTTCATAATCAGGTTTACGGAGAGATCATGGCAGTTCTCACTCATCTTCAAAGAAATGAAGAGCTTCCTGCTCCCTCCTCAGGTACGTCTGCCTGAAAGAGCGCGATGTTCTTTTCGCGAGGCTTTGTTTTAAAGAATGGGACACGCGGTGACCTTATAGTAAGCGCGCTAGACCTTAAATTATGGACCTCAAACAATTCACAAAGGCTTCGAGAGCGTGATTAAACAAAAGGTTTCATCAGTAAATCAATGGTTCCGCAAGTGTAGGAAAAATCTTTTTATATATCACGCCCTGTCCTCTTGGTAAACCAACTACGTAAAAATCACAACAATGTACATTTACAAGAACGCGGGCTTCAATGATAAATGGTTCATATTTCTGTTTGAAGGAGAAGCAGGCCTCCACTTGTCCCATAAAACATGATTTTGACACAGTTCCCCCTTCCTCACAACAGTATCAATAGGAACCTACCTTTTTTTTTCCTGT